CTTATTATTAAAATAGTGTTTGCAAATAAAATTTTAACGCATTAAATAATCATGTTTACTAGAATTAGTCCAAAATTTTGTTTTGGCTTTGCCCTTGCCTTCCTTTTACTTTATTGTTTCTTAGTTATTAGATTATTTCCTTTTACTTATTAGAGAAATGTATGGAATATAATATTTAAAAAAATGAAGAACTATAAAAGAGGTATAAAAAATTGTAGTTGTTTTAATAACAATAAGACATATTATAATGAGTAGAAGTAGAATCAAGATAGTGTACTTGATGTTATACATGCGATAAATGCCTCAGCAGATTTTATTGCATTAAGAATAGCGGTATTGTGTTACGTATATAATCATATATTACTTCTTTTTATAATGAATTTGATAATGTGGAAATGTGTATATGTATTTGATAATATATTTTATTATAGACATTTTTATAAAAATTAAAAGTTTTCTTAATATGATAAATTATAACTCAAGATTTTGGCTTCTAAGAGAATAAATTTGTTATTTCTGTAATGTGAGCATGTAAATAATAGTGAAATATTTCAATAGAGCAACTTTAACAAAAAATAATTTAAATTTATCTAATACTGAAGTAACTATGAGTATTGTTAAAAAGAGAAAAACAAATACATATGTACTTCGTACGTGCACATACGTACGTTTTTCCATTTACAAAACTGAATGTGTATTTTTTTTTTGCTCCCTTCAGTCGATTTTAAGATGCAAACTTTCATAATATCTCATATGTTTAAACAATAAAGATTAACCAGCTGCAACCGCAAACAACGAGCCATCCAACAGATACGATAATAACGACGCAATAAGGTGTAATGAACGCGTATCTAACGAAGGCAAAAGATTATTTCTAACTTAATTATATTTAACTACACTCCGTGTCAGACGTTCAACTCATAGAAGAGCATGAAACAAAATCAATTATCTTAACGTATATAAATAGATATGTAATTATATATTTGCAATATCTGAGTAGTTAATGTTTGAAAATGTAGTTCAAGTGACGGCTTATTACACGACGATAACAAACGCGTTCGGAATGTTTAAGATAAAAATATGTAAAAATGAATTAATAAGTATTATAAAGAATAGTGGTACATGAGTCCATTCAAGTTAAATATGAAACGAGATACAAGATAATTTTAATTATATTTTAAGTGTTATTTTAATATAACTAAGTTCTAAGTACATTATATAGAATTGAACATAACAAGTAACACATATATGAATACAGCGTGTCAATTAATGATATATAAACAAATAATTAGTACGCCTTAGGGTCAAGCATGATTGATGAGTTCAAGAATTCATGCAATACATAGATTTGAGCACGCGTAAAAAATAATAAAAAACTAAACAAGCAATCTTCGATGCTTACACTATTAATTTGGACAGCATTCATTGTTGAAACGAAACTAATAAATTTTTGGAAAGTTACCATTGTATCAATTCCTTTTTTTGGCAATGAAATATATTTTTAATATCATGTTTTTTCTTTTATATGTACTCCTAAATAAGAACTGTGTACGTTTTCAGAATGTAAAAATATTTATTTTATTGCCTACGACGGTTGCATGGCCCTCATACAGATTTTATATTAAGAAACTAAGGGAATTAAAGTCAACGAAAATAGCATGGTGGGATTAAGAAACATAAAAAAATAGTATGGTAATAAAAATGAAGACTAAAGCGTGTGAACCGAGAAATTGTAGAGGAAGCAGGTAACAGAAAATTAGAAAGAAAAGCCTGTATTTAATGAGTAATGTGGAGATCTAGTTGCGTACGGGTTTTAAAATCAGTAGCTAGGAGATACGACAGAGCTTCGCACGCTAAATATAGTTATTATCATGGAATCCTACGCGATGACAAAGAAAAAGACGTTGTCCTAAAAATATAGACAAAGAAAACGCTTAAATAACTATCTAGATCATTTTAGCACTCCTAAATTATTTTTTGTAAGTTTTATTCTAACATTTTCAACTTTCTATAGTACTCAGTAAAAGGTGATTGCTGATTAAAACTGTTCTTTATAACTCAATGATAACTATTAATATTAAGTGAAATAAAAAGACATGTATAACGAGAATGGAATGACAATAATAAGCAATGAATCTTTTAGAAAATAACCTAACAAGAGGTTGAATTACACTTGCTCCACGGCATCTTACTTTTTATTAAACTTTTTTTGTGGCAGCTTTGACTAGAGTCACTCTGAATTATCTGGTTCTACTTTTAGTATTCTATCGGTTAAAATCTGTCGCATCACTCAGTCACTTGACAGTTTTAAATACGTAAATGGAATGACGCGGGCATGATTGACGAGTACGAAGACAACTCTGATATCGGATAGCCAATATCGAAATAAACGATAGAGAAAAAAATGCAAACTGATCTTTTATATTAACCAGACGTATTATCCAGTATAGAATTACGTGGACGAAATTTTATTAAGTTTTTTTGCAGTTCGCACTTTTTTTCACATATTCGCAAAGTTTTTGGATCAACGACGATCACGCGAAGTCTTTGCCTTAAAAATAAAAGGGGATATAAGAATTATAAGAATATTCAGATTTATGTGATACTTTTAAAAAATATTATTATTAAGGACATGTTTATTAAATAAAGAGTGTAAAAAATATAAAACTACTAAAAAAGTTAATACATAGAGATTATAATTAAGATTATATTCAATGGAATTCCAAAGACTTCTAGGTAGAACAGAATCATAATTTTAGCAAACTCTTGGGTGCCCAAACAGTAAAATTCAATAATGTTCGAGATACGAAATAATTTAAGTAATAGCTACTTTCTTTTCCTCTTTATTAATAGATGACAATAGTTGTATCTTTAGTTATAAACGACTAAAATTGGTTCACACGGGCATAAATTAAAAACTAACTATAACTAATTTAAACAGCGTTTAAGAACTTGTTCGTTGTTCGAACTAAGAAAAAAAAATACCCGGGATTAAGTTTTTACCATAAAAAGACATCTGTATATCTAAAGTGGGATATTAAAATAAGTTTTTGAAAAGATGCTATTTTTTATATCTATATGGTTGAATTTTATCGTATAGTGTTCGATATCTAATACAATAGTTTACTCTGTAATCAGTGAGTATAATGTATACGGCAGCGACGTAACAGATTATTTTATGTTGAATTACGATACAAACTCATATCAGACTATTATTAATATAGACACCTCAATGTAAAGTATACACTATGGTCATTATTTTCTTGTAGAACAACTATTTTAAAGTGGCTTTTAAAGGAATTTATTAAACACCATAAGTGAAGGATAGTTTCGCTAGGATATATTTTTTTAAAGGAGTTTTATTAGAAACATAGATTATACTTAGATGAACGAATAATAATAGGACAGTTATATTTTTTTAGAGTTGAAACTAAGAGCTTTAGTAAAAGCGTAGCTATAAAAAGGAGAATTCATAAGACATTCAAAAATTTATTTACACTTTTTCGTAAATGTTATATATGTAGTTTGTATCGGTTTGGATGATTTTGGTTTTATGATAAATAAGAAATATTAATCTAATCTATGATACTAAATAATTTGGCACATAAAAACCAAAAGGATCTTCCTTCAAGATAATAACTTCGATGTCAACTTGAAGTATTTAAACTACATGATGTAAATTTTTAGATTTAATTAAAAGGCATTCTATTTGTCCAATACATAAGTGAAACTAAGTTTAAAAACTTAACAAACATGAGACGAAATTTTTGGGTCGGATTAATGATTTAAACATTTTTTTAAAGGTTTTTAAGTTAATAACGGATTAAATTTAAAAAATATTTTCGGTAGAATTTGTTCTCTTATCACTTCCAATAACAATAAACAGTATACCGTAATTAATTGGTAAGTATTAAGGTCGCTGGCATTCTTTACGATTGTTGTGTGAAAGTTTGAACTTAATAAAAATTAATCGTTAAAGTTGATTTACATGAACCATCCATAGTAGACAGTATCGATAAGTAAGGTGCTTAAAACTTCATTTAATTTTAAAATATTTTATTATCTCGACTCCAATTCGACTAGTTACCGCATTTCCATGTTTTTACTTAAGTTTTAAATTCATCTGAAATGTTTTTGGATTAGCCCAGATCACTCTTTGCATAACGGTCATGCTACTCGCGAAAACCACTCAGCCGTTTCACAGATTAATTCAAACAAACAGGCAAAAAATACTTAAAGAGATTAATTCGTTTTGGGTAACATGCTGGCAACAATAAATATTAATTGAAGGTAGAGACCCGATTAATTTAAATACGATTCCTAATTGATACATCCGTTAAGTTAATTTGATTAACATATATTCTAAATTTTATACCTTTTAAAGAAAAACAGGTTCACGTAATGAAAAATTACGTTTAGAATTGTATTTAAAATTATTTGATATACTATTCAAGTCTATTACAAATGGGATTCCTATAGGTCAATTACATTGAAAAGAACCTATAAGTGGGATATATATTATGATTGCATCATTGGAAAAAAGCAAGTGCTTGAGAAAACAAGAGCTAATTAAACGAGCAATTATGACTTTAATTGTCATTAATTTCGTTTTGTAAAAGATAATATAAGGATATGGCGGTAATATAATTGTACTTTTTTTAAAATTTATTATCCGTTTTATAAAACTATGTAATACTGTTAAGAAATATTTGTGTAATTAATTATATTACTTGTATATAAATGAATATACAATTTATATACCAACTTTTGTTTGACAAATATATAAACATCTCCAAACATATATGCAAAATAAAAAATACGTATATATTTTTTTATTTGAGATAATTTATAAAACATACATGAACGCAAAATGTTACACTGAGACAATTATTTCCAAAAAGCTATACACTGAGTTAATTATTAGTATTCCTTGACCGAAACAGTTGATCTTATTTATTAAGTGTTGGTGAGTATAAATTATATGTAAATAATGTATAAATATGAAGGACGTTGATCAATTAAGCGTGTGTCTCCGATGGATGGTATCAGGGACAGAAAGCCGCGATGTACATACGTCCATCTCTCCCTTTCTCCCGTTATCGCTCTCTCTCTCCGTCCTTCGGCGGGCAGTTCCTCTTCTTCTTGCAAGGTTAAGGTTACGTCAGACGTGTTATGTTATAACCGTTGGGGCTCAGTGCGGCAAGTTCAGTGTCTTGACGAGAGTGGCCGCGACAACTGATCGCGCGCTTCCCAAAGACTGTGCAACAACGCCTGTGATATACGAACAGTGAAAAGTTCATGAACTGGGTGTTGAATTTGTTTGAACTATCACGTGAGGCTGACCTGTCTCAGATCCCTTTCACAACTGTCCCTATATAGAGGTAAGTTTGAGATTTTAAGAGAATTACATCTCTTAAAAGATAGGAGTAAAAATATTTTATATATTGTTTACTGTAATATTTTTACACTACTCCAATAAATTATTCTTATCCGGTACGTCCTGTTCGATAACTGGTCTATAAATATTTTCTAGTGGTTGCGGTGGCTGGGTAAGGACCGCACTCCCTAGTAGTAACACAATTAAGAGTTTTATCTAGGATTTTAACATATTCATAGGTAGGAATATAAAATGGACTTCAGGTGCACATGCTTTATCTACGAAACGATTTTGATTTCATTCAAAATTATATAGATTTCAAAAATAATAATAATATGGTATATTTTTTAGGAACATTAAATATAACATATATCACATCATATATAAAATAATAAGATCCGTAATGCGCATCAAATGTAATGGGAATCATTGTTTATAGAGTTATCAGACGTACAGATATAATATAACATGATTGTGTATGTTGTACCGTTAGGGTTGGTATTGCGAAGGTTTTTGCGCATCTTCCATGGCCTGTCTTCGATCGTGTGTGAGATTGATAGGCTCCAGTGCACTCAAAGCTATACACTCATTGCGCTATATTTAGACTCGCATCGTTTCATTCCATTCCAGGAAGATGTTTTTGTTGATTGTTTCTTTTAAGTTTCTTCACCTCCTTTGTACCATTTATTACAATCCAACGGCAAGCTCACGTCAAATTTATAAAAGGAAAAAAATAAAAGAAAATGAAATTAGCTCTCGTCTTCCGTGCGTGAGATCAATATATTAAAGTACAGAAAAATGTCGTACAATAAATTACTGAATCAGTGTTAATATAAAATTAATACGGTCATTCAACTCTTCCTTTAAGTTTAGCATGTATTTTTATTTCAAAAAAAAGATATTTTTTTAGTTATAATTTTAAAATATCGCCGTTATAAAAGTATTATAAGTATTTATTAGAAAATTATTTATCGAAACCCAATATAAAACACAACAACCGGCAATCTCTTCAAAGTCGTTCAAAAGATTTCAACGCGTTGAAACGCACTACTTTAGTTCAGCTTACGAAAATGTCGCTAACTTTACGATTAAAAAATATGTAGTTGGAAAATAAAAGTAATTTTTAAGAAAAAATAAATAAACCTAAATTTTTTTATAAAATATGTACACTAAAAATATTTAATGTTACGTATAAAATTGTTTTATTAAAGGGTCGTAATTTTATCTCATTACGACGTTAAGGTAATTTGCAAGTAATTATTCAGAAGCGGTACAAAACATCATCGAGCAGTTTACACTGGATTAATGTTCCCGAGTTTAAAATTATCGTCATGATTTATTAATAAAATAAATTACAGGATATTAATTAAAAATAACGCGAATAACATAGACCGTTATGACGCATCCGAGGGCAACGAACTAGCTCATATTATCTTTATTATAAACACCATTACACTTTATTATTATTTTATGTGAATTTAGATATAACACCAGACGAATAATATAATGAGACGAAAAAAATATATACATAAATATTCGCAGAAATTTCTATACTTCATTATATTATTTTATATCGGATACAAACCGTTATGGAATAAATTATAATCAACTATCAAGTCATCTAACAACGACTAGCCGTAGGAACAATTTTCAAAATAAAGTCATACATATCATTTATAAACTATAGCAATAAAGCTTTACGCAACTGTAACTGAGTGCTATTACAGAATTTATACTAGTAAACGATTGGTCATAGAGTGAGTACAAACGGCCTGGAATTCACGATTGAGGTCGAAGGTCAAGATTAGTACAAGACTTCAGATAGTTCCCTTAGCCCGTGCTAAATTGAGACACAGTCAACGAATGTTGTGGAAATAAATCAATTTATAGCTGTTATTAATTCTGGTGTATGAGGTATCTTAATAATTTGCTACATTGGAAGACCGATGGTAGGAATTTTGTGATGTTGGATTCACGGAGATAGGTGTTGTTCCGCATTTGACTGTGAATCATCTATAACCAATTTCAGCAAGCTTCCCACGCAAATATTAACGTGAATTACTGTTTACTTTGAAATTACCATAAACTTTCTTTAACATGCAATCCCACAATTAATTTATCGTATAAAATTTTTAAAAAGCCATGGTTTTAAGAACAGCTTAGTGGGTCTGAATGACCCCGTTGAGATTGAACATGAGAACAGGCACGTTCGTGAGTTGCTTGCATCAATTGACACGCTACTACACGCTATTTTACTCACAATCGAGCACAAGGTGAAGTTAAGTTACAATATTTAAAAAAATATATAACTAAATGCAAAGAAAAATACATTTTCGAATAAATATCTTAACCTCATATTAGGAATCGCTTCGTACAGACGCTTCTTACTCCACTTCCGAACAAAAAAATACTAGAAAGATCCACTTGATACAGGTTCCTTGAGTATGCGGAAACTCACTTGGTAATTTCTTATAAACACCCAGATGCTTGATAAAATATACATAGTGTTTGATTAGGTGATTAAGCAAAATGTGGTTAGAATAATGCTTAGTGACTTAGAAAAAAAATGCCATATTTAAAATTTACAAAAATTAAACTAAATAAATTAAAGAGTCATAGATAGCACTTCCAATATTCATAAAGATAATATTGAACGACTTCACAAGCAACTGCAAGCAATGAGAAGATAAATATCTTTATCCTATAGCTTTTGTATAGAGTCAATGAGCGCAAAAATTGTCTAGTGTGTCGTGGACCTACAAAGAAGCTTGATACTATTTATATAGTAACGTTTAAAGGGAGGTAGAGTGCGGTCGTGCTCAGGGTCAGGACGGATTCCATCAGGCTAGCTTTCTATGAAGGATTTTAATTACACGAGAGGGGTGGAGGGACGAGAGGTTGTGTTCAACGGCCCGTATCGCTTTTATAAGGCGCTGTTTATAAAAAAAATATTTTTTTCGTTTTGTTATAAATAAAATAGAATTTTGTTATTTTACACAGCATTGAATGATAACAATCCTAACTTTGTACCGACACTTAATTTATATTAGCAAAGAATTTTTCAAAGTTAATTTTCATATGACCATTGTAGAATAATAATAAAAAGGTAGACTCAGACAGTGGTATAGCGGTCAAGTGTTTGTTCTTCATACGCTGCGCTCAACCAGTCTTCGGAATTTATCTAGTAGTATTTCGTTCGGCAGGTGCAGCCACAATTGGAACCCACGTATTACTTGTAACTTGAGTATACGTGCTTATATCTAAATAGTAAATATCCACCTTTTAACTAACTACCTACTCAAATATCCATTTATAACTAGAAGAGTAGTTTTTAAAAAGGCAATTGTAGCCTGTATATATTCTAAGCCCTAAAAAAGTGTTTTGATGATGACGATCGAATGCGGGTCATTGACTTGGAAACTGTGGTTTAGGCATTTACACAAGAATCTGAAAATCACGGTGAGAAATCTACGCTAAACAAACTGTCACCAATAAAATTAACCTTTACGATAACATATAACCGTACAGTGTCCCAGATTTTACCGCGAAAATCTATCGTTTGCAAAAAGTAACACTTGAGGCCATATAAAGTGGGACAGGTTTAGAAAAACTTTTTTAAAGCCAGCGTAGGTGCAGCCGGAGTCATGTTAGTCATCATTATAGTGGTTATGACCAAATATCAACAAAACCACAAATTAATTCCCAAAACTAAGACACACCATAATCATATGGTAAAATCAAAAAAGTAGTACCTCTTTTTCCTATCTAAGTGACACTTTATTCTATTTTAGAAGTTATTTTTTATAAAAAAAATAAGGATTTAAAATCGTTATAAATCGAAATGTAACAAAAAACGCGTATCATTACAATTAGTAGCAAAATCATGGACAATTATCCGATATCGCACTCAAGAGTCGAGATAAAATCCGTGAAATTAGTGGTATATTGTTATCTCTGTCCTAGATATTAACGTGAACTTAATTTTATTTACAACGGCCTGCATTAAGACTCAGATCAGAATATCGTGTAAGCTAAATTGGGTAACGAGGTGACAATCGTTTCTTCATTAGTTAGCAAGTAGTGCGGGGTTTTCTTAAATTGATACAGGTGATTTTTCTAATGAAATCACTGAGGAAACGGTACCGGTGGCGTGCCTCAATAACGGCCTGTCTTCTAACTCCCACGGTAAACGCATTATATAACTCAAGTGCAGGCGTCAAAGAGCACAAAGCTGCTATGATCTCGGTCGCGATCGCATTCCCGGCGAAAAACAACTAACACAGTAAATGAAAACAGATAGCTAACGATCTATTGATATACTCCATTGTCGCGTTCTCTTAACTTTAATTCTATCATGAGAATAATCTTTGTTTAACATAATCTGACACCACCTAATTAACCTGGGAGTAATTAAAATATTATCGTACAGTAATCTGTTTTTTGTCGCTTGATGCGATAAAAAGCATTGTTTAAGAGAACCTAGTCATTGTATGTAGTAAAAAAAATGTAACAAAAAATATTAGTAATTATAATATAAAGATTTATTGTGAGATAACTCAAATAAGAAGATATTTTTATTGAAGTATCAACGAGGTGGCTGGAATTAATTACGAGGAAAAACCTAAATATAAACCATTTCAAATTGTGTAGCATATCCTACTTCTATTTAACGGTGTACAGAGATATGGCTTTAGAAACTCAACCGTATAATAGTTTTGCGGTCATTTGCAATAAGTAGTGACTGTAAAAGATGACACGTATGCACTTGAACACATTATATGAATATTGACCGTCAGTTTTGTTTATTAAGATCTCGATTGAAGTCTCGTAGGCGTAGGGTTATTGCACGTTAGCGGAATTCGGTTGCGGTCCGTGTGACCGCAGCCCGAAACGCACGATCCGTAAATTAGTCAG